CCGTCAGTCCGCTGGGGTATACCCCAGCCATTGTCTGTTTTCAGTCTCATTCCTCACTTGCACATTTTGGAGTACGTGCGTTGGAGTCTTGCGTGGGGAGCTGCGTTGTGCCATCTTGCTCCCCCTTCTTCCTCCATCTCCATCTCTGTCACTAGCGGAGCACCACAACTGGTGGGTCCGCTACACTATCGAACGACAGAAATCAAGATCCAGATCTCGTAGTGGAGGGGTTAAGATACGCCAACCAAGGATCGGTGTGGCATCCGATGTCAATAACAAGGAGCGAGATCCAGACTACATGGCTCAGACGGTGCCGGAAGCCGCGAACCAAGGTCCGAAATTCGAAGATGTCATGAAGATGCTGACTGTAATCACCGGGAAAGTTCAAGTTGGCAACTTGACATCCGCGCCCGATGGGAATGGGAAGAGCACAATCGGAAACAAGAAAGAAGAGGATAGTGGGGAATCGGAGCACGATAAATACAAACTCAAGATCAACCGTGGAAGTTCTCGCAAAAACGAACAGACTGAGGTAGGGATTGTCGAATATATGAGGCAACGACTTGACCATTACATGGAGAAGAACGGGAGGAAGATTAAGAGTCTTTGCCTCAAGAGGAATGTGAAATGGGAACATAAAGATATGAGCGCTTTGGGAACTCGACAAACAAGATGCCGATGAATGGCGAGGAGGATGGGCCAGAGACGGAACCCAAAGAAGATGAAGGTGGCCAGGCATGTGAAGATGGTGGAGAGGAATGCGACAATGTCCCTGGGAATGAGATCTCCAAACGAGGCCTCCTAAGGCTCCTTGGCCATATCAGCAACCAGATGAAGAACGCGCAAGGAGAAATTCTTCCATCGCTGGAAACTGCTTTCAGACTCGGCACTATTCTCGCTAACATCATGGGATTCATTGGGTGGGGTCGGACCTTCATTAAGTATTTACAGAATATAGACTGGACTCTATTTTTGGACATCCACCAGTGCTCCTCTTGCGTTTACATGTTGTTATCCACATTCTGTCACCAGGCGTACGTTGGACAGACGAGCAGGACTCTTGCTAATAGATGGCAAGAGCACATGCGCACATCCACCAATGAAACTGTGTTTAAGGTTCATAAGTGGTCAGCCAAGCGAGGATCATGCCCATATACTGCTGTCCCTACACGGTTTTGTTCAAAAAATGAATTTAAATTTGTGGACGGAAAGATTATCTGTCACGAGAACCCAGGATTTAACTGTAGAAAAGCCAACAAAAGGCAGCAACCTCGCAGTACAAGAACAAAAATTAAGAGCAATGGGAACTCCCACCATACATGCTCACCGATTTCCTTTTCATGTGATGATACTAACGACGTTTTTTTTTTGTGTGTGCTTTTTGATTTGATGAATGTACTCGAGCAGTTGAAAGAGAAACGACGGCCGATGAAAATTAGGAGCCATGGAGGAAAGTGATGGCTTACTCCTTGGAGACTAATCATAGTCATGTACGGCAGATGAAAGATTAAAAGCAACGAGGGGATGGTTCTACTAAAAGATTTGAAAGATTCGTTTGAAAATGGAAGTGAATGGAAAATTACCATACTTGCGGCGCGTAGATGAAGTGCGCTGCGCAGTGCGCTAATCACAGATGCGTGCGCGCGTGCAGCAAAAAAAAAAAAAAAAAAAAGCATCCGTGATGTGTGTATACACGCTGGCATCCGTGATGTGTGTATACACGCTGGAGAGAGAGAGAGAGAGAGAGAGAGAGAGAGAGAGAGAGAGAGAGAGAGAGAGAGAGAGAGAGAGAGAGAGA